TCCCATTCAGTGGAGGAAAAAATTGTTTATAAGACTGAATCTCCATAATCTCAAATTTAGGAGAAATCGTATCAGAAACAGTAGATATATCAGTTCCTGACATTGTGTTACTTCTTATGTTTCTTGTTCCTACATGAATGATAAAAGTATTTGTTTTTTCCCTTGTCAAAATGTGCAACTCTTAATCACTCCAAAATCTTCACAAAAATTAATTGTAACAAAAAACCTCAATAAAAATCCCACATATACCCAAAAAAACCCACACAAATTTTGGTCTGTCATTATATTAAATCCAGTGAAAACCACCTAATAGGTGCAATATGAGAGTAAGGTGGGAGGAGAGGCACCCTAATTGCACAAACCTCATTCCTTTTGGAAACAAATATGTATTTGAGTAGAAATAGCATTTAAAAAATAGCTGCACACTTACTAATCCTTCTGGAATCACAGCTGATCTTCTCCACATGCCCTGTAACCACAAAATGAGGCTTCTGACCCAGTGTAGGGAAGTAGGGTCACTGATCCTCATGCACAAAGGTTGAATTAAGGACATGATATTCCTTGAGCTCCATAGAATTTATAGGATGTGGCTCTGCCTGGCTCCTCACCTGCTCAGACAGACATTACATGCAGGGATTATCAGGTAGTTTTCAAATTATTTCCCTAGAGCTTTTTCTGTTTCCTGGCAGTGTAGAGTTTGGACCATTAAACTATATAGACTTCTGTATAAAACTGGACTAAAGTTATAACAGACATTATTCATTTCAGTGGGCAACACATTTACCTTTAAGACCTCCCTTTACCATCCTCTATGTCTCTGAAATGCATCCATATTTCCAGATTCCATTATGCCCTTCAGCAGAACAATTTTGGATGTACAGCTGTGTGCTGATATAGCAAAATAAGAAAGTCCCATAACATTAAAAACATATTTTCAATGTGTTTCCTTCACTAAACATCATTACAGCTAAATGGAATTGAAAGAACATATGATTTCTTAAAATAATCAGAAAGAATTTTTACACAGTATATCCATTACAACGTCTTCATTTCAACCACAAAAATTATTTGCAGAGGTTTCATAAAATATTTACATAATGTTTTCATTAAATATGCTATTGTTAATATCCATCTGAATCAAAGAGTAGACACTGGGGAAAACCTGTGAGAGAGAAACAGGGAGCTGGGAGAACACTCATGCTGAAACAAGCTACATACACCCATGTGACTGACCCAGAAACGATTTAGTTGTTGCCAGTACAGCTGTCTTTGAAGTCAGCCAAACAACCATATTCTACTGCCAAATAAAAAAAAAAAAAAGAAAGAAACCTTCATAGTTTGGCATCAGTGTTTTGCAATCAGTTTGTCAGAGTTCCAGAGCAGCTATTTTAATTTTTAAAGTGATTCCTCTCTAATCTTCAATTCTTATCTGTTTAACACAGTGTCTTGAACAGTCATTACTTCCCTGATAGAAACCTCTTCTCTGTGTATCCTCCTTCAAACCCACCTTTGCCATCTGCTGTTTCTATTGTTCTTCCATTGATGTGGATGCATTTCATTTGTCCAAGTTTGTCTTTGCTCTCAGGACAGTTCAGTAAAACAAAACCAAACCTCTTATATGTTAAAGTCTGTCCTTTCTTCAGTCTCAGAGTCTTTCAAAAGACCCCTCAATGTCCCTCATTTTGCTTGTGTTTTCTTGATATTGTCAGATCAATTTTGACTGAATTTCTGCTAAATATTCCAGTGCAAGCTTATAAAATCTTCCTTCTTGCAGAACATGTCCTTTTACTATCAGTTGTAGGATGTTACTTCCTTCACTTGAGAACTTGTTATAGTCCCAACACACATAATAATATTTAATGACCACTTTCTTCCTCTGTTCCAAATCTTTCCTGTCTGCTGATGTGCTGTGCAGCTATAAATCATCACTAGGGTTTATCTTTGCTTTTGCTTAATTAGACTTGAAAGATCTCTTTTTGTTTTAGTTTTCTTCCAGTTTTCCCATTGCTTTATTCATAATTTTTCCAACTTGTTGCCTCACTTGCATATTGAATTTTGAACCCAGACTTGTTCATATTAGTCTGTGAAAATAAACTGCCATATTGTCTTTCTGACCAATACTGTGCTGTATTACAAACAGTCTTCTAAAGTGATAAAAAATTCTCTAGAAAGTTTTCATTTTCTGTCTTACTACAGTTCACTTTGTTCATCCATCATCCACTCCAGCAGTTTTTTGTCCTTGTCCTTGTAGGGTTAATCTCAGAAATTTTGGACTTCTTATTTAGAATTCATCACACTATAAAATTTTTTCTCCTTTTAAAAGTCCAAAACATGACAGAACTGATGCAGTGTCTCTGAAAGTCCTATGACTCCTTTGACTACCAAAACTGGCACTACATTTAGACACCTGAATGATTCCCGACATGTCCAGTCTAAGTTTGTTTTTAGGCTCCCTCTGTAGTCCAAAACAAGTGTTCAAAACAAGGATTACCCTCCAGAGAGGCACTTTTCCTATTCATTGACCAGAAGGGAGCCTTCTCATTTCACTTCCAGAGAGGTCAAGTTAGTGCAGTGCATCCTGTGCTCAGTGATACATTCCTCTAGTTATGGGAACTACAGTGGCTATTACTTTCTTCTGTGTTTCCTGAATGCCTGAAACTGTCCCTGATTATTGCTATATTCATTTAATTTCAAATTTAAGATGGAAAATTTAACCTTTTGTCTAGTTCCTTCCAAGCTCTTACTGCTGTGAAAAGATATCTGGTTTCAGGATCAATGATGGAATACATCTTCCTGAATTTCCTCTACTTCAAGTCTGTGTCAGAAACAGGAATGAACTCTGATACTTGTATTATAGCAGACTGAAGAAAGATTAGATTGTTCTAGAAAAAGATCACCAAAAGAAAGTTTTTTGAGATTGCTTAAATAAAGCAAAATATATTCATATTCCCCAGTTCACTCTGGGTTGGCTGACAGGAAGGTCTAAGGACACAGCATTGAATTTTATTTTTTTTAATTTAACATGGAATGTTAAATGAAGTCAACAACATTAGCCAGAGGTCAAGAAAGTCTGAATTTCAATTTGATGAGGTTGACATTCAATCATCTGAAAGACCAATATTGCAAACCTTTGACTGCTCTCGCTCAGGAAGAATCAGTAACACAAAAGGGTGAGCATCATTCTTTCCCATTGATTTCAAATGGAAATAGAGGTGAGTGCACCACAAGTACTGAGCACCTTTCAGCACTAGGACGTAATTTAAGAGAGTAGAAAATGAAGCTGAAGTTATAAGAAGAGCAGCCTGAAGGTATAGTTATACAAAATGGTCCAGGCAATAGGATGCTGGGAAATAGAGAATGTTAAGTAGGTATAGTACCTTTGTGGAGACCAGGACTTTCAGGAATCCCTGAATATTATAATCTATATATAATTATTTAGTGATTAAATTACATCATTAACTAAATGTAATTATTTGAGTGAAGAAGATTACTGGAATATGAGAATAATGTTTATAATTTCTTTCCCTGTAAGGACTATCTCCTGATTATTTGTGCAGAACAAAGCTCATTTGAGAAATGTTAGGAAGTAGGGACATTTAAAAAATAAAGACAATTCATAGCAATTTTCACTGGGAAGGTGAAGAGGGGAGAGAACTCCAGAGTATTCAGCTGTAAACCTTATTTTTAACATAGACATAAATATTTCTTTCATCAGAATGGATATGCAGATTAGGCCCAGAGCAAAACCTTTTTAGGAGATAAATGCTCTTCACACTGATTTTCCTTCTTTGCAGATGATGGCAACAGTGAATGTTGCCAGAGAATTTTGTAAAAATCACACTGAACCCAAATCTGAAACAAAGTGCCCCCCATGGAAAAACTGGCTAGTCTGGAAGAGGTTGGTTTGAGAGCTAGGCAGGAGGAGCATGAACAGAAGAAAGCAGCTGAGCAGGATAAAAGCTTCATCTGGAAGGGACAAAGGAATTATTTTGGAATTAGAACAAAATGGGTAGGAAACAGACTACCCAGAACCACTTTAAAGGTCTAGTGTCAGAAAATAAGAAACAGATTTGATTAAGTGAGGCCAAGTAAACATTGTTCATGAGGAGAAAGGAAAAAAAAATCAATACTACTGCCGGCAAATCTGCAGACTGGGGACAACATGAAAAAAGAAGAATGACGAAAAAATAGCATGGTCAGAAGAAAGATGAAAGTGTACAAAAACACCTGGTAATTACCTGCATGGTTATTTGGAAAGGATAGCCTCCTACTCAGATTTAGTGTGCCAAGAAGCTTATCAAAAGTTCATTCTCTTGACAATCCAAGCTCATGCTAATAGGCTATAATTGACTTCTGACAACTTTCAACTGGAACCAGGCACAAGGACCAAGAAATGTAAAAAAAAAGGAAAACAAAAAGAAAATGGAGGAATTCTGTTCAAAGTGTCCACTCCAAGGTACTGAAACATTTTGTGTCAAAACATAGAACATTGGCCATTTCTCTTGGACAGGGTGAAGGGGGTGGCATTTGGAGAAGATTATGACCATTAGGAAGATACAATGACCTTCTTTTTAAGCATTTAAATTAAAAACTAATGCTCAATATTAAATATTAATTCCTCCTTTCACAAAATCTTAAATTCCTTGGAAATTTACTTTCAACTGTACTGCTGTTTTCAGAGTGGCATGTCCTTGTTAGTGCTTTCTAGCAAGAGTTATCTAGTGTTTAGTGTTTCTTGCTAGAAGTGAGCTGCTTCTTGTAGCTTCTCATGTAAGATATTCTGCTGCTTGGCAGGAAGCCTAAGACTTTGAAATTGTAGTTCTGCGTGCAAGTTTGTTCCAGGAATCCAGTCTTTGGCTCTTTATCCTCTTTTATGTGCTACTGATCCAATGACTTTAAATTGCTTTTTAAAAGAAATTTAATGAAGTAATAATGTTTTATTTCAGCTTGATATGCATTTGGTTGGTTTACTCGGGATAGAGTTACCAAACATGACTCACCCCAGGATGATTATGTTTCAGTTTCAGCCAGGTGCACCCAGGACTTGGCAGCCATCATCCTGAAGCTGATGTCTGTGCTAATTCTGCACTTAGTGACCTTCACGATGTGGGTGTTTGGAATGATTCTGTTGGCACAAATACAAATTCTCTCATACAACCATCTGTTCCTTGTGGAGAGGAATTTTCAACAGGTATCTGGGATGTTTCATCTACAGCACTCAGTTTTCAGCACAACTCCATGTTTTTGGTAGGAAAATAATGTTTTCATTGCCTTGCAGAAAGTAGGGCCACCAGTGGTATTTGGAGACAGAATCCTTCATTGGTCTTAACTGTAAAGGGAATCTGCTGAACCCTTCCCCATGACACTTCAAAACAACCTCAAGGCTGAAGGCCGGTCTTTCAACCCCAAAATCCCTATTACTCCCATTCTCCTATCACATATCCACTTTCGCAAACCCCATGCTTACCTGCCCTGGCTGTGTGCGAGGATGGACCAGTACGTGGCCAGTTGATGACCAAGATTTTACCTAATTGGCTGTAGCATAGTGTGTCCAATGTGCTTGAGTCCCTTTGATACGCTGACTTAAGGAACTACAAACATCATTCACAGAAATAGGTACACTTCTTTTTTCCTTAATTTGGCCTACATCGAACAGCCAGGCAGGGAGAAAGGTTTTCATTTTTCCCAATTAACTGTAAGCCTAACAGCTAGTTCCTAATATAAACCTTAGAGGATTCCTGTTCCACTGGAACCAATGCCGGCATCTGTGTGGCATCTGTTTTAAGATAGATATACCAGTATAGAATGACATTTTTGCTTAGTATATGCAGGTTAATTTCCTTGAGGTCATTACTGATTTTATATGCTCTTTGGAGACTTCCCGCTCTTCAGAAATTCCAGCACAGTTATCTACCACTCAAATGCACTAAAAGAGGAAAGCGGCATTTTGTCTGCAGGAACAAGTTTTTTGCAATTTTCAGGTTTAAAAAAAGAAAAACTGGGAAAAAAATCTATCTCGTTTGAATATTGAAAATGAAGAGTTGTCTCTGCAATAAGAGGTAAACTAACTCATATAAGGCACACATTTGCGCAGAAAATAAACAGAGATCCTATATGGATTTTCAGAATCAGAGGTTACATGACAATGATTTTTGAAACAAATGTTGTCATTTACGTGGTGCACAGGGGACTTTGCAGTAAGATTTAGTGAGTATAGCAATTTCTCTCTCGATACTTCTGAGACACCTTCTATTTTAGGAATTTAACTTTTGGGGATAAGTATGTCTTTCTTTTTAATCTTTCAAGATTCTAAGGCTCAAGAAGCCTTTATTGGTGAGGCGGGAGAGGAATTGTGCTGTCTTATGCCGTCTCATGATCTGTTTCCCAAATAAATCCTATACATGGAAAAATTTTGAAAATTTTGTTCAATTTACCTCATCCCATTTTGATTTATGTTTCAGGGATTCTCCTTCCCAGTTTAGTGGGCTACACTCTATACAATGACACGATATTTTAGGATTCAATCTGAATTGGTCATTCTTGTCAACTTCCATTGTTGTCAGACCATTTTTAGGTGCTCAGTGCTCTACAGAAATTACCACAGCCACTTTATGCAGAGTCTCTGAGCACTTCTGCTTCTTCAACTTAGATTTCATAGAATCACTAAGTCACATAATTATTTATGTCTAACTGTTAAGACCAGGAGTCCAACCATTTATCCAGCACTGCTAAGTCCACCACTAAACCATGTCCCTGAATATCACATCTACATATCTTTTAAATACCCTCATAGATGGACTTGACCACTTCCCTGGGTAATCTGTTCCAATATTGGGCAACCTCTTCAGCGAAGCAATTTTTCCTAACATCCCATCTAAACCTCCTCTTGATGCCAACTCCTCTTGTCCTAAATTTCTTATTTCAATCCTATTAAAAATGTCCTGCCTTATGTGTAGCTTTTCATGTATTCATTTATGATCTTATCTTCGTCGCAGTTAAATTCTTTAACGTATTATTTTTGGAGACAGCTGGCATACAGAATGATGAGCAATGTAAGAGTCTAAATCAGGGAAGTGTTTTCAAGCAGTCAACTTTTTTTTTTTACAGATAAATACTAGTTCTTTCTCCTTCTTCTCCTAACCAGCTGGATACAGGCCAGTTTTAAGTAAAAAGAGTGCAGCTATATCAACTGTAGTATTATGGTCGAACTAAGATTTTCAAAGTGTACAGCCCATTCAGACTTTCGCATTTTCTTTATGTTATTTAACTGGTTAGGAGGTTTTAGAGCCAGAAAGGTGGGGAATCAAAATCAGTATAAGCTGCAAATCTCAGTAACTTAGGATGCACATGCTCCTTATGTGCACAGCACATCATTGCAAGTGCCACATTTGGGAAAAAATGTGCTGACCGTGTCTTGTGGTGCTTCATCAAAATTCCACAAGTGCAGGAATGTATTTTGCAAGTGGTACTCTATCACAGGGACTCTGGGAGGTTTCAAATATGCTCCTCTGGAAAACTTTGGACTTTTGAAAGCATCTGTGTAAGCCCTTCTTCTACGTTAGAGGGTATTCAGAGAAATGCTAAGTCTTGAGAGTTTACTTTCGGGTTCTTTTAGTGTTTAACAGTGCATTTTAATGGCACCAGGTTTGTTGCAGAGACAGAAGAGGGCATTTCTCTTTTATTATATTAGTCTGAAGAGAAAAATGTACTGCAGAGAACTGACTAACAGGTAAGAGAACTGGTTTGGATTTTCTCTGTCTGACCCATGATCATGTGAAAGAGACACTCCAAAACCAACTACTAGCAAGCCAGAGGGTCATGGCATCTCCTTCATATTTCACAAATATGCTTATCCTTTTGCTTAAGATTTTCTGGTTTACTTTTTAGCTCTGTCTTGCTTTTCTGCTGTTTCTACCTGATTTTCAGGTTTTTTCTTCCATCATTTTAACATATTTCTTTTCCATTAAAGGGTTACAGACAAATGTAAGAGGAAGAGACAATATTAATTATCAATACACAAAACAGAGACCAGGAGGCCACTGTTTCACCAGGGACATCACTGTTCTTACAGTCAGAAACACTGTTCTGATCATCTGCACTTCTGATTCCTATAGCTGTAGGAGCAAGAGTGGGACATGAATTTCTGCTCATGTGGCAAAGAGGAAGAGGATATGATGAGAAGTCCTCTATAAAACAAACAGTTAAAGAAAAACATTAAAAATCCAAGTAAACCAAAGGATTGCTTGAGAAGAGTTCTCAAAACACAGGACATAAAGGGAAGCCAACAGTACTAAGGCCCTGGAATAGCCAAAAGAGGAGTTCTATTGGTCATAATTTCCTTTGCTACAGGACTGCTATTTTTGAAGTTTAATCTGTTTGGCAGTCACCATAAAATGCTAACTTAGATGGAAATCTTCCCATAGCATAATCAGAGAGATCAGGGAGGCAAGTGGATGCCACTGGGGCTGTTTGCAGTATAAATCATATTTTATCTCACCTAAACTGTGAGCCTGCAACTATGAACTCAGTAAGTTAAACAAAATATTGGTGCTATCCTGGTCTCCACATAGTTTAAGAAAAACACTTAGACAAAATTAATTCATCCGAATTGGCAACCACTGGTTGCAAATAGCCAGCATATTCTGAATTAGCATAATGCACAGATGAACTTGTAGCATAATGACAGTGAAGTACAACAGAAAGAAAAAACCAAGATGCAGCTGCAGTAGATAGTAATGTTGAAAACTTCACTAAACACACAGTCATTTAGACAACAAACTCTTTATCTGCCTTATTGTCACTGTTGCTACATACAGCTTACCTACATGGGTATCCAAACGTGAGGGGCCACAGACCGCAGACATGCGACTGCCTAGCCATTTGTCAAGGCACAGCAAGGAAGAAATCTGGGTCATTTGGATGATTATCATTTGAATAATCATTATCATTCCAGACAGCTCAGTGTGTTGCCTCAGGCATCTGAGCAATTTCACCCAGTCACCTCAGTCCTGTAAAGCAAGGAGAAGTGTTTTGTGAACTTAACAGAACTTACAGGAAAAAAAAATGTCTAATGGATTCCAGATATTCCAGATATATTCTAACTCTTTTATACATTTTCAGGACATATAGAAGTTTTATAGGGATGACTTTCAGGACATATAGAAGTTTTATAGGGATGACATTGCCCTTATGATTGGTGATAGGTAATAACATTACTGCAGGTCCCATAATGTTAAAGACAGGCAATTATAGAAGGTTCTGCCTGAAAAGGAGAATGATCTGAATATGCAAATTTTGAACCAAGACAAAAGACAAGGAAGAATCAGAGAAAAATAGTCACTTTGTATGCGCATATGTTCCTTAGACATAAGAGAAATTATAAATTAAAAGAGATATTAGAAGGAAAATTAAAAAAAAAAGTTACAAATATCATCAGAAGAACAGAAAGACAGTCAGCAAAAGAAGCAACTTTCTTAGAGATGCCTAGCTGCATCTCTGAGCAGAAGGTAATTGCCAGTGAATAAAAGAGCAAACAGCATGCTAAGACAAAAAGCAATGACAGAACACCAAGCACTTTGGTCAATATATTTGTAAATCTACAGAAAGTCCGAGGAGGAAGAAAAACTCATCCCACTTTCTATTTCTCAAGATGGTAATCTTCTCGTGATATACATTTTCACTTAATTTCCTGACAGAAAATAAATGCAACCACTCCTAAAGGTTGCCAGACAAATAGAGAATTAGCTAGTTTTGCTGGGTTTTAACAGACACATATAAATATATGCCAATAAACAAAAAAATATTAAAAAGAGCACTGGCCAACTAAGTATATATCTCAGGTATGGTCAGTAAAAATTAATTCTGGCACTGGAGGCAGCCTGGAGCTAGTCCTTGTTGTGCTTTGAAGTGCGAACTTAAAAAACAATTTCTTCTTCAGACTTACCAGGAGCTAACTAAATACTTGGGGTTTTATTGAGGGAGACGTAGGTATTATGGTGTTCTTGTCATGGGTGCCATTTATATATTAGACAAAACAATAGTCTGACTTCCACAGAGGAAGAAAATGGAAAATGGAAAGCTGTGCTCTGTTGGTTTTTGGCAACAGGGAATTATTAACAAATAAAAAAAGCCAGTTAACTTTCATTTAGAAAGAATTTGTATTGAGCAGTCATGAGTCTGGCATGAGCACTTCAATTTAACCACTTAATTTATAGCATTTGATCATGAACTTTGCCAAAGTTTTTGCTACTAACATAAGAATTTAGGGTCTCAAAATATTTCCAAATATATTCTTCTGGCAATCACTTTAAAAAGGAACCTGCTACTGTGTTTTTAAACTTGTTTGATTCATATTAAATAGTATTTGTTGCTCTGAAACTGCTATTGCAGGTATTCTGGCTGACAACTGAAAACAGCACACTTTTTACAGAATCACAGCATGGAAGAGGTGGTAAACAACCTCCAGACATCACACAGACCTGTTCAGAGTTGCTCAGAGCCATTTTCCATCAGACCTTTAATATCTACATGGATGGAGATTCTACAGTCTCTCCAGGCAATCTATTCAAGTGATTGAACAACCTCATTGCCTAAAAAGGTGGTTTTCTGTGTTTAAACAGTTTCCTATATGCCAGTTTGTGCAACATTTGCAGAGCTCCTTGCTAAAACCTGAGCAAACCAATAAAAGCCCAAGGACTTCTGCAGCATGTTCAGCAGAGCTGAGCTTGCTTCAGCCAGGGCTACCAACAGCAGCTTTTCCAGCATCTGAGCTGGAATCAGCACTCTGTAAATGGCAAACACAGTGTGACCTTGTAAGGTCAAGAACTGGAACTGATTCAGACAACTCTGGCTTAAAAAAAAAAAAAAAGCCCACATAAAAAAGCATGAGCAGTGTGAGCTGAGGTAAGCAGTGACTAACCAGGACCAAGGGAGGAGAGTAGGCTCGGGGCTATTGTGCAGCACATCCGGGAGGGTGAGGAGGTGGGGTGGAGGGGGAGACACAGGAGAAGGGAGTGAAGAGGGAAGGCAGCAGGAAAGGGTGATGACATAGTTTAATAGAATTGATTTATGAATCACTGACTTTGTGAAGTTAATTCCATATTCAACTTTCCCTATTCTGCTCCCCCACTCCCAATAAAGTTGTCTCTGTTCTAAACCCTTGAACTCATTGTTTGTTAATAGGGAAGTATTGCTCATGAGGGAGACACAGACAATGTTCATTTAATTTCCCTGCTTTCCCAGGAGACTCTGGAGGGTATTATTTAAGGAATGTTTTCAAAGGAACATATGTGCACTGGCCCTCTTTCCTACCCACAGCACCTCCACCTAGACAACTTAATACATCAGTCAACATTTGCAAATCATCAGTTAATCAACACTGAGGAAAGGTAAATTGAAATAAAACAACCTAAGTGAATTATTTCATTAGCTTTGCTCTAATACAAATAGAAACCCTTGGAGACCCACATTTTCACTGGAGCTCAGTAACAAATGTGTTAAGTGCTTGAAAAGAAAGGGATACAATTGTGAAAGCACACATGCAGGTGAAATTTTCCCTAAGACTGCGTGGGAGAGCATGTAGTGGGAGCAGACCTGATTTGGCTGCTGTGTGTGCTACCGTAGGTGCAAGGAAGGAAGTCTCCAAATGGTGGATTTAACAGGACTCTCTGCAGTCACATCACAAAGCACCCGGGAGTGGCCTATCCCTCCTGGCCCCTGTGGGAATCAATCTGAGGAAGCCTGATGCTATAGAGATGTTTCCTGTATATTGTGTGGGAAACTCAGCTAAGTGCAAACTACTGGCAACAATGAGACAATAAATTATAATAAACAGGAAAAATAGCATTGGCTACTGAAATCAATGGTTGGAGCATATGAAACTTTCACAGCATTGATAAATGAATAAATATAACAAAAAGCATTGGTTTTTGAAAGAATGGGAAGTTTTATCTGCATTGAAAGGCTCCTTTTCTGTTAACTAAATACATGCAAAAAATAAACACTGCTAAAACACTTTGGCTAGGATTTTCAGCACTGGAGAGGTGGTTTAGAAAACTGCACAATGCGCCAGAGTCCAATTCCTTTGCTTGGCCCTGAACACAATCAAGCAGAGTCTGAACAAATGGCCACCTGCTAGCAGCCCCATTGCATCATCCATCCCTGTCTGCTACTCAGCCCTCACAAAGTGATCGCAGATGAAACAAGCTGGCCCCCTCCTTCTGGAATATTATCAAAAACAGCAACAAAGCTGAGCTTAAAAATACTGGAGACAGCCTGCTGTCCAGTGAAGAAGACCTGGAACAGTCTGAGGGAGGGTTAAAAACTGTTCATCTTGTGCACACAGGCTATCTTAGTGAATTCAAAGGGAGCAGTGAGAGCTGAAATGAGTGGGAGTGAAGAGTGCAGTACTTCAGAGGAGACACTGAAACACCTTACAAGCCCAAGGGAACTGCAGTATTAAGTACTTTTCATATAGTGCCCTTGTGATATCCAGGCTCTGTGAAGGAGCTTAAGAAAATGCTCATCTGCAGCTTCCACCTGAGGCGAAATGAAGTCCCCCTCCAGATAGTCTCTGGAAGGCTCAGGGCCCTGTGGGGCCAAGCTCTGAGGGACAATGCACAGCTGGGATAAAGCACCAAGGTTTAGCCTGCATTAGAGGTTTCTGCATTTCAACAACAAAAGATCTGAGAGAACACCATCAAAGTTCTTTGAGGGGCCACAAGTAAACTGTGCAGAGGGAAAAGTTAGTCTTTCAGCATTCAGGAGAAAAAAAGAAAAATTAATGCGCTAGCAGAAGCATATAAATACACTCCAATTCTTCCTGAGTTAATTTATTTCAATTAGTTTTATCTGAATCACACATCATTGGAAGATCATGACACAGAAGCAATAAAGTGCTTATGTGGGTGTGTAGATGGAATTAGATAAAATCATGGAATATACATTTTACAGAATATACTGGATTGCTTGTTTTCTAATATCTCAGAACAAATTGTTGAAAAGTGATACACTAAGACTTTCGTACAGCACAGTACAACTTGTAGTAGGATGTGACTGTCCTGCTCTACTCTGCACTGATACAGCCTCACCTTAGTCCTGTGTGCAGTTTTAGGTGCCACAATATAAAAAATTAGCTGTTAGCATCCAGAGGAGTTCTACAAAGATGGTGAAGGGTCTTGAAGGGAAGCTGTATGAGGAGCAGCTGAGATCACTTTGTCTGTTCAGCCTGGAGAAGGCTGAAAGGAGACCTCACCATGGTCCACAGTTTCATTAGGAAGGAAAAGGAGGGGCAGGTGCTGATCTCTTTTCTCTAGGGAACAGTGATAGGACTGAAATGGCCTGGAGCTGTGTCAGGGGAGGTTTAGGTTGGATATTAGGAAAAGGTTCTTCACCCAGAGGGTGGCTGGGAAGTGGAACAGGTTCTCCAAGGGAATGGTCACAGCACCAGCCTGACAGAGTTCAGGAAGTGTTTGGGGTTGTCCTGTGCAGGGCCAGGAGCTAAACTTGATGATCATTCCAATTCAGGATATTCTATGATTCTATGATGATTCCACTTGGGGATTTACCCCTTGTGACATGTAATGAAAAATTAGTCTACTTTATTCCAGGGTTCAAAGGAAAGTGACTGATATGTAGAAAGCAATACCAGATAACCATGGCTTGGTTCTTGAATAGTTTTTGTGAGAAGGCATTCAACATTATGAAGACATTCGACACTATGGTAACTTCAAGTAATGATTGGAAGTGGGAATACAATACTTCACTGAAATTCAAATTCTATACTATTGAATTTACTTTTCAAAAAATTTAAAATTCTAAGAAATTGAACAGATAGTGCAAGAGGGTGCATAGAATTTGGTTTCCCAGAGTAGCAGCCTTCTGCTGT